GGTGAAAATGAGAATCTGCGAATGCAACATGTGGAACACGGAGAGTGGAATATGTAAACAAACCGGTTAACCCCCCTTTCCCCCAAAAAACAAACAGTGAAGCTGGAACACCGGGGCTGTGAGCTCGGTGCACTCTGTCAGCTGACTGTTAGCTGAGCACTTTTGCAAACATGTTCTATGTCGACAACCTGACCAGACTTGTGAAGATACGGCGCTACATTCGCAGCTAAAACACTATTAAAAGTGTAGCTGGTGACAGAAAAACGGGGTATTTTAAAACTTGACACCACCAACATTGCTGCCTGTGATTTAAAATGCATTCTGGGATACCTGGCTGCCCCAAGTCCACACATTTAATTATTTAATGGTGTATTTAATTAATTCATTATGTCAGTCCTGGCGTTCCATACGAACCAACCAGAGCCTCTGATGTCAAACATGTTTGTGCTACACACTGGCTAAACCTGTGAGAACCCTCTGAAAACTTTGGGGTTTGTGTGTCTTGATATGTTTTTAAAAATAATCTCCAAATGGGCTCCACAAAATGTTAGAGGGCGGCCTTTTTTTTTGCCAACCAGTTTCTTTGTTGTCACACATTACACCCTTGTTGTTTTTCCTCCATCTCCTCAGATATATGAGTCTTTGAGTGAAAAATGTATTCATTTATTTTTCTTGCTTCCAAAATCAGCCGTGATATGACGTTTCTGTGATTTCAAACATGTAACCTAAAGCCCCTCTCAGACACTCATTCCTTTTCTCATAATCTGATGGCAGCATTTTTCTGCAGGAGTCATCATGGCAACTTTACCAGGATGGACCCATATGTGCAGATCTGAACGTGACACAAGCCTGAAACTGAAGCGCACAAAGACTTACACCTGCACACGTGCTAATCCTTAGTTTTCTCTGTTAATGAGAATAGTGGAGAAAACCAAACGTTCAAAAGTTCAGTTGCACTTCACCAGAGACGTGACGGTGTCACGCATGTAGGCAAATGTGTCACTGAAACTTTTTCATGTCCAAAAAGGGGCTTTAAAGTCCTGACAGCCTGAAATCTTTATGAATTAGCTTAAAAAACACAAACAGCATAGAGACATATATACAGAAACATTTAGGGAAAACAAACAGACTGAGCGAACAGTGTGAGTCTGTGTGAAATGACACTAATCGCAGCAATATATTTTCTAAACAAAGTGCAATACATTCATCATACATATATGGCCTGCAGCCCCAGATTGCATAACTTTATAAAGCTAAACTTCTTATTCAACTGTTTCTCTAAAAAACAAGAATGTGCAGTATAAGATATGGACAATACTATTAGAATAACTGTAAAATTATACAGCCAAAGTAGTGTTGGTTTGACTGTTCTCAGTGACAGGCAAACACCAAAAAGCTTCCTCAGGCCTTTGCTCTCAAACATTTAACACATAATATATTAATGCCTTCATTTACATGGACAAGCAGATCGCTGTGAAAGGTAGTGACACTTGTTGAATGAGACCTCAACTTTAACCAATCAGAGCAGAGAGGTCAAAGGTTGGTGGTGGTGGAGTTCAGGATGCCGTGCTGGATCTTGGCGTCAGAGGCCTTGGACAGGTCTCGCTGTGGAAAAACGAGCAGGCGTGAGCGTGACGTCACATACGTGTGCGGGCCGTTAGAGAAGACAAGACACACACTGTTAGTGTAAATCAGACAATCACACAGATATTAAAGTGCTGCTCATGTAAGTAGTGCTAGCAGCAACAGCAGTGCAGATGAATAAAGGTATCCAAACACTGAACTTGCATTAGCCGTCGCTGACATGTCGGCACACCCAACAACAGTTAACGGTGACATTTTGGAGAACCTTCAGTGACGATGGCAGCAAAAGCCAATCACAGAAGCCCAAAGAGAGCCTCGTTTAGCTGTTAGTATGAGCTTAGCTAGCTGCTCTCACATGTACGTGCTTCCTCTGTGGACAGGGTCATGATTGTGGATTTGTTTAGTTTGCTTGTGCTGTCACAGTGAAGACTTGATGAAATAAAGTAAACTCAAAGCAGCTTTGGATTATTTACAGTCTAAAATAAATCTTTATTCACGTCACACTGCTCTTTGTGGAGCCCCTCAGTTGGACAGTGTGTTTCAGCTCATTCGAGCCAAATCTCTTCTGATCCGATAAGCAGAAAATTTGAACAGGAGATGGACGGGAGCTCCTGCGCTCACAGTCGCTAATGTAGACCCCACAGCTCCAAACTAAGGAGGTTCCCCGTCTATGACATACAGCGCAAAGAAACCTTCTGAAACAGAGGGCTCAGAAGCCTTGATTCACATCCACTATATCAACGATTGGTAAATTAACACAGTGTCTGAGTAACCCACTGTTAATCTATGCTACCCATAAATCTGTGCCATCACGTTTAAGAAAGTTAATTGCTAATTGTGATTTCTGTCTTTGGTTTGAAGCGTGCAGTTAGAGCAGATTAAGGCGATTAGTTAGGATTATGCAAAGTTTCAGGACTTTAAACACACCTTGATTGAACAGATTCAGTGCTGACCAAGTCCCTCTAAAATACAAATATACATCATAAGCATTATTGTGTACTTCATCCTTGACTTTATGCTTTAAAATGTTATTGCACAGAAACAGAGGGACCGAAATAATAAAAACATGCAGAGACAAAAGTGTTAAATTACCACAAACTCTGAATATGTGCTGGCAACAGAGGCTATGCTGAAGTTACGCTGTGGACTAGCAGGAGTCAGCAACGCACCCCTCAGAGGGCTGCTGCCCTTCAGCTGGGCCTCATTCTCTTTGTTGCATCCCTGCAGTCTCGGGTGGGGGGGTTTACAGCCCCCCGGTGTCCGCACTGCCAGGGTCTGATGGAGGAGGACAGAGTCACATCAGAGAAATACAGAGTTGTTGCTTCTTTACACCAACTCACTCAATTCCCCAAAGCACTGATAAATACACCGTTTGTACTTTAAATAGTTCAAACAGAATATTTTTAAATCATGAAAGGTTTCTGCACCACTGAGACGAAAAATAAGACAACACGTGTAAACGTCCTGAAGCATTTATAGGCATGCTCTGCTGATAAATAGAATATAACAGTCGCACAACACGATGCAACTATGGTACATTTTAGCATGAAGCAGTAAAATAGACAGGTTATAATAAGTTAGGCAATTGGTGTCTATATCGAGCTGATGGATCAATTTGACCACTTTGTGTTTAACTGACTCCAAAGACGAAACAG